TCGACTGCTGCCAACGTGAGTTTGAGTGGCCGAATCGAACCTGAGGGACAAAGAATGAATATTCCGGTAGACAAGAAAACCAATTCGATGAGAAAGTTGAATAGAGTATAGCATGATATATATATATATAATGTTCGATACCAGTATCCTATTTGTAACACCAGGATATATATTTGGATAGGCCCTTCGGATCCAAACCATTTATTACGCGACACTACGATTCTGTTCTGTAAGTGGGTTAGATGCTATCAACCGCAACAAATGTGACTTAAGCGTCTTTATGGAATATTTTACAATAAGAAACATTTGAACGACTTGACAGTTTCCCTGAAAATACAGAACCAGTTTCTCGGTTCTTGTAGTTCATCAGGCATGCGTATTTGGCGTTTTTTGTGTCGAAAACACACTTCTTCGGTACAAGTTTGTCAGTAAACTGCCAAAAGATTACTGAGGCAAGAACCGCCAAACCGGTCGTGAGCTTCCAGAGAAATCTTATCAATTTACTCAGATATATATCCTGGGACTGGTGGATTGATCAGTACGAAACCTTGAAGATATCTTTTTCTGTTGAGGCCTGATAATGATAATGATCGTTTACTTTCTGGGAATACCAATTTTTACATTCAAAAGTTTGTAGAAGGAAGGACTGTGGTCGATCCAATACTGTTTGCAAGTACACGGGGAGAAGAGAAAATAAGTTGCAATGAGAGAATTTCATTACAATACTTATGGAGCGATTTAGAGGTGGTACATACTACTTGGCCATGTTCTCTGAACTAATTCTAAGCTACATATCAAACGGAATAAACAAGAGTCCCTTATGCAATCGAATAATTTCACGGCTTGCTGAGGCCGTAGCCATTCGGCGTCACAAACCGGACCTCTGCAAACAATTAGACTTTGTGGCCAGCCTAACCCTCCCATGATAGGGCTGTCACCTTGATCTAGGTCGATGAACATGTTCTCCCACCCTCTGTTCAACCCGACTGCGATTGGTGACCTTTGACCTTCGCACTGATTTTTCCTAGTCGAGTGTTTTTTATGTTTAAACGATTGTCATTGTCCTGATCGAACTTTCACATGAATGTTTGTACACAGCTGAAGAGATAACGTGAAACAGTTGAATTCAACTTGTCTTGTGACGATGCTTGTTCTTGCTCTTATGAAATTTCGCAAGCGTCTGAGTATAAATGACTGAATTTGCTTTCAACATTCCAATCTTCATTCTGCTCTTTTATCCAAATGGGGCACCAAAAGACAGTAACAAAAACCGGCGCACGAAAGTGCATGGTTAATGGTTGTAAAAAACTGAAACTGAAACACAACACTCGATTAAACAAGTGGTCTACGCAAGCCGAAAGTCAGGCGAGTGTGTGAGGAGAGGATTGTTTATTACTATTTTACACGTCAATAAATTAAATTGAAAATACGCGAAATCCATCAGAAGGATAGGCGTGGTGTGGATAACAATGAGGATACATATCACTAAAGAAGATTGAAAAAAGACGGAAAGAGAGCAGAGAGGTGTGAAGCGAACAGCTGGAGGGAAACGCGAAGCACACTCACATAAAGCCACATCCCCGTTTGATCGATCGATCAAGTTCAGTTCGAGATTGGTCAAATTTCGAGTCATTTGGATGTGGGACTGGATAAAGCGATGAATCTCAGCTGGGCACAAGTTCCGATTCAACGAGAACACCAATCGGCCTGACATTATCCGTAATTTACCCCGTTCTCCTACCATGTGCGAATTCGAGCCCCAAAGACGATTCAACTGGCCGTTCCAAGCCACCTCGAGGCTCGTTCTGTAAGCAAACGTTAAAATGAGGGAAATTCCAGCACATAATAGCAAAAGGGAGACACTCGGTGGCAAATAATTGATCCCCAATGAGAACAATGTGTCCAACGGATCTTATTGCTATTAAAATCTATGACGTGTAACAGATTGTGCAACGGGTCACCAAAACACGTACACAATAACGCAGCAAGGATACCAAAACTTGTTCTGCAAACCCATTCTTATTATCACGATTTACATTTAGTGCGACCCGGAGTGTCCTGTTACGTTCTTTCCTAAACCCAACAAATGTAATGATAGTCAAATGACTTCGATGAATTTGTACGAAGACACGCCTCACCAAACTTAACCGCATTCAAACGATAGTCCATCGTAGATAATCGGCAATGGCGTACGATGGTCCTCTCTGATGTTTGTGATAGCTGGATCAACAGCACAAGTCACAAAAACCGACGCTGGTCTCGGTGGTCTTGGAATGATGAACAAAAGGTTCATTAAATGAAAAATGCCCATAACCACATTGAAAACAAAGTCCGGTAGGCGAAACAAGCTGCTTTTCGATAAATTCATCAACGGGCCATTACAATTATATACGGTTATTTGGGTTCGTCGATCTGGTTTTGATTGCATCAGACTAAGTACAGTTCAAAAGGTTTCACTAGGGTAGGGGCCGAACGACGGAGAAGCCGCTGGAGCAGTGGTCTAGTCACTGTCACTGACGGGCTTTGGACCCTACGGCCCGAGATTCGAGCCCCGTCACCGCCACCAAACTTTGATGGTAGACAGCTTTGCTGTCGTCCGGTTCAATACCACGCCTAACCTGGTTGGACCTTATGTGGTCCGCCACTCAAAGTCCCGGAGCTTAGATCACTGGTTTCCATTGCTGAACGGCAGGTCGGCGTGATCATGGGGCTTTCCCGTCTGTTGTTCATCACACTAAGGTGTGTAAGAAAAAGAAGAAAAAACGTCATAAAAACCATGGTTATTAGACTGTGCAGGACACCATGAGCGTGTAAGTGGTATGCACATGTTGCCTCTAACTTACGGCTGGAGACAGTAATAAGGTATGTTGCCATCGCGAACCACAGCGATCGCCCACGCAACTGAAAAACTTTTTACCTCGAACTTTTAATGCGAATTGTGATACGGAAAGCAGCCAGAGCCATTGATGGATTGAAGGAAACAGGGTGAGAATCGGTCAAATGGTTTCCGCTGTATGTTCAGTTGTACATCGAACTTCAAAATCAAGTGGTAAGTATTTTATCGTCTACTAATCTGATTGTAATGAAGTTGTGCATTAGCTGCTTAGACTCCAACATGTGTAATCGTTTAGATCGTGTGTGATTTGGCTCGGCAGAAAGCATGTACTTGGGAATCTATGAATGCGAGATCGAAGAGTTTACTATACCTGGTCGACTCACAGATCACCAAAAGAAAACTAAACATTGTCGAGACCCCATGTTGCACCGCAGAACCGCTTGTTTAACCGCTAATTAATAACGTGCGAAAAATTTTGGTACCGGTAATGCGACCTTTAGTTTCAGTAGTCCACAGTTTCGTATCCGTAATGTCCGGTTTTGTTTTAACAGTCTGAGGATTGAACAGGTGTGTGGAGTAGCACTTTTAGAATCGTAGTGGTCTAGTTTTTTTTGTCGTGCATCTTTTTAAGGACGTCTGCGGGTTCTTTTTCAGCTGGGGATCATTTACCACGGGAAAACATATCCCCGGTCCTCCGAGATCATCTATGCTTTTTTCAGTTTAAGATGTTCGAAATCCAATTTAAGAGGTCACAATATGAATTTAAGATGTCATGTTGCTATGTTTCCACTCTGTACTGTACAAGGTACTATCCACATAGCAACGTGACATCTTAAATTGACACTCGGACATCTTAAATTCATATTGTGACATCTTAAATTGGATTTCGGACATCTTAATCTGAAAAAGGTATAGTAAGTAAAACCATCTCCACCTATTGATGATCTAAGTCCCGACACTGAAAACGAAACACACTCACCCAGACGTGTCCGACTGGTTTGCTTTGGTCCCGTGAATCACTCGCAGATTGGTCAGAAACGACAATGCGGAAAGAATATCGGAGTTAATGATATGAAGACTCCCGTGAATCTCTTTCAGCTTGGCAAATGCAACTTTTAATGCACGCCCCTGATCCACTATTTTGCATCGGGAGGTAATGAGATGGAACGAATGGAGAGGGAGTAGAGGGGGGCAATGACAGTGTGTTCAATGAGGATAAACGCCATATGGTCATTGTTATTCATCAGACAAACATTTCGCCCTTATGACTTATGTCATTTGATGTTCCATTTCTGATATCTTACACAGTAGCATACGAACAAACACTCGAAAACTTTGCGATCGTTTTCTGTCGGTCAGACATCTACCTTTTGGTCCAATTTTTAAGTGAATATCTCTACCGAACTACCACAAGAGCACGCTGTTTTTCATCTGTAAAAACGCGAAACAGGGCGTTGGACTTGGAGTAGAGAATTACAAGGGGGCTTCAATTGGATAAGTGTGCCACTGAGTCCAACGATTAACTCCCACAATATTGAGGTGATCATGAAAGGGAGTTCGGGTTTCATTCTCTGCGTACTGATGCATCCGCATGACAGTCACTTGAGCTACTCGACCAGCACTATCATCCCCAAATATAAGCATGGAATTGGCTACTCACTACTACTTTTGGGCGACCTCCCCCAAAGTCAGGATAAGTCACCTTTACAAAAGAATCCAAGAATCTGGAGAACATGGTAAAAAGTAGGATAGGGAATATTCTTTGACCGTTTTCTTTGAAGATGCATCATTAACCTTTGACAGCCAGGCGATACCTACATGACAACAATGTGATGAAGCTGACTGAATTTGTTGGCCGGCCAAATTCGTACACGTCCAGGTGCCTTCAACGGGTTTGCGGTGCACAGATAAAGCAAATCAGGTGAAAACCCGATAAATCTTGAATCCACGAAACCGAATTAACTTCATTCATACCTTTGTAACTTAAAGTAGAACTGTCGTAACTGAAAGTGAACCAACCACATTCTACTGGTAATCCACAACGTGAGTGGTACCCCAGTCGTCACATTATCTATTGGACAGGGTTTCTGCAAGGTCACTGCGGTCGTAATGGATTGATTTTACCATCAGCAAACAAAAGTACATTTTGAGTAAGTTGCCGAGCAAGGAGGAGGGTTTCAGTGGAACGGGATCTGACTGTTCATCACCCCAGAGAACGTTATGCCCTGGACCGTTGATTGAGTGAGCACTAGACGCAAATGAGCAAACTCGGCAATAAGTGACCCCGGTCAATCGGACAAGAAAATGAAATGAACCGATAAAGCGGTCACCCAGCTGGGGCGTGAATGTTGACACGAATCGCTGCACGGGTGGGTTCAGCTCAGACTCTCAGTAAGCGGGTCAGAAAAATTCAAGGAGGCCTTGGTTCTATGGAATTTGGCGGCTTCTTTGGAACCAAATGCGACCGTATTGAAAAGTAAAGGCCAATATGATGCTTAGCAATGGTACCCGGATTCGGAATTGGCCGTATTTCACCTAAACGGTGGGACCAAATGTGAACAAATTTACTAGCAGTGGTTTTCGGATTGATAATTGCATTTCACCTACAGTTTGACAAATACAGCTTTTCAATTCGTTACTCGGCCTGGATACGTGGTTTCGAATCAATGACGCATTTTTTACACCGCACAATTACATTTGTTCTCCAATTAACAGCGTCATTGTGATCAAAATTGCGTTGAAACTGTAAAATAAGGAACTCAATGTGTTTCGGGACGATAAATGTGCTCTTAATTTCACCTATTTGCTTAGTTATCGGATTGCACATCGGGACTTGAGCTGGCTACGCGTTTGTCTTAACAAAGTAGTACAATCCACAAAGGTATGTTAGACCACAGCTGCACCCAACAATTTAGTCAGAGTGAAGTATCGTTGAAGTTAGCAGCCAAAAGATTGACAGAATCAGAGATGAAGCTTAGATGCGGATTGTGAAATGAGCCCAAGGAAAAAGAGATAGGAAAATTCTATTTCAGTAGTTTAAAATTAGTAATGAACTTTGCGGAAGCGTAGCCGCAACTTATAGAGGATCGGTGTTAAAAAGAAGCTGGGCTACAAAAGGCGTTTCAGATGAATACAAGCTGCTTCTATTCCTTCAACTGAAAAGTTAAGTAATGATTTTAGGTTATTTAGGATTCGTATCCCCGTAACTCAAAGACGAACGACATTTTAAACAAATTCATAGCGACCTCGACCAAAAACGATACTCGATCCAACCTAGACCAAATCATTCGCTTCTTTTGATTATTACATGCACGTGTCCTCATTACATGCATGTCGATCTCCTAGTGTTGTGAGATACTACTCACTTGTGAGTAGTACGCAAAAAGATGCGATCAGCGGTTTCCTTCAACGACCAAAAATGAACAAGACCTATTTGAGCAAACTGTCGCTGTTTGGTACGGTGAACACAAGAATGTGCATCTGTTAGTGGACCGTTACATTACATATCCTATGTGTTTGCGACAATTCTGCAAACTTATTCCAAATGAGATGTTTGGTTGTATGATTGACAATTTAACCATATCCTGACTGTGATTGGCAATAAACAACAATCCTCGACCAGCACCGCCTTCTGGAATAGTAACACTAGGAATGATCTCAAGCGATTCTCATGAGTGTTGACGTAACCAATGCGGTCGATAATGCCTTCAATTAGGCGTATGCAAAAATATTGACTTGATTAAGATCTATTTTGGCATGACTTTTTTCTAACTTTATTGAGTCGGAGATGAAACACGAACAGCAAAAGTGAATACGCAATGAGAAGCACTTACCTTCATCACACTGTTCCAAACTGATGAGCACAGAACGGGCTGAGATACAGTCACGTACATGGTCTAAATCTGCAGTTGTATGTACCCGGATGTGTCCACAATCTGATTGGGTGAATTGGGAGGTGGAAAAATTGACGAATAAGAACAGGCACGAAAGTGGACTTCACATAGTTTTGCAAATTTCATCAATGAATAAATGTATGCAGCCTAGCACTTCCATCACAAACTATTTCTCCACAGTTAATTCCTCATCGAAATTAAAAAGAACTCGGCTAGCAGGTGAATTTCAAACTACACTATTCGAACTATGAAAACAAAGGATATCGTTTTGTTACGGGTTTGTCACTTTTGATTTGGTTAGTCCACCAAACTGACACAATAGTTTGTAGACATGTGTACGGTACCACATGATTGCTTAGCAAGCATTTAGTCATGCGATCACAATGAACACGTGCTGCGAAGATAATTCAACTAGCCACGTAGGTGGTGAAGGCGGTAGGAGAAAAACCAATGTGCATCTGTGTTACCACCACACATCCTGACTGATAAATTAGTTCAATTGTCGTTCACTAAAGACCAACGACCTTCTAATGGGTGATAGGTCCTTGGCTGAATGCAATGTTGCAGTCGGTTGATTAATGACCAACCAGTACATTGGTCAACGACCAGGTTGGGAGCTGGGCCAACCCAATCTTGGAGCAACATTTTGTAATTTGAAGGTGCAAAACGCATACCAAACATTACGCTACCATTTAAATTATCCGGAAATGCTTGCAACTTACCTGGATCTTCGGTTAGCAATACGATATCGTCTTCATACTCCAGATCAAAGTCTGCCATCTGGGAGCAACTCGATGTCACTATTCTCGCACTAGGATAGGGCTGTTTCCATGATCAAATATAGGACAATGTTGAATAGAAACGGAGAGAGGGCAACCCTGTCGAGCACCACTTTCTGTAGTGAACTGGGGCGAAAAAGTGCCGTAAGCTAGGACTCTAGTTTGACTATTAGTTGAAAAGGATCGTATTATTGAAACAAACTCCTCGGGCAGACTCTTTAGAGCCAGGCAGCGCCAAAGTTTAGAGTGATCGACTGAGTCGAAAGCCGTTTTCAGATCGAGGAAGATGGAGATGGTAGATCTACGAAAAGAATGTCGGTGTTCCGGGATTTGGAGAAGAGTGGAGATGTGGTCTATACAACCTCGACTAGGTCTAAAACCAGCCTGATTCTCATGCGTGCACTCTTTACGTGCGGCAGACAATCGACGGACTATGATCCCAGCGGGAAGTTTAGAGGCAACGGTAATCAAACTAATTCCTTTGTGGTTTTCACCTCTCTTGTAAATTGGTAAGATAACCGATTCACACCATCGACTTGGAACCTGTTTCCTCCCCTATATTGAACCCAAGAGTGCCGTCAACCCCAAGACTAACTCTAAACCTTTGTCCTTAAAAACCGATGGGGACAGTCCATCCGGGCCGGAGGACTTATGACTTTTGGGACAACATAATTCCCGGGAAACCTCCATTTCAGATGGGGGACTGGTATCAACTCGGGGTATTTGCTCAATCGAGGTGAGGGGTGATAGATCATATGTCGATGGGGGCCAGTTGAACTAAGTCTCGAATTGTTCAGCCCATCGATCAAGACGGTGTTGCTGATGACGAACCAATGTGCCATCGGATTTCTTACGTAGATTTTCCTGGGGTCCGAACTCCTAATTAGACGGAAAAGAGTGCAATCACTACCAAAAACCACAGCTTTCTCCATCTCTCTGAACTTTCCTACCCACCACTTCCCGCGGTTATTTCTCAGATTCTTGACAGGCTGGCATTTAAGGGACTTGCGGGCGTCCACCAAGGCAGCTGAGGTTGACGAGATTCATCGTTGTTGCTTTAAGCCTGCGCCAGAGTCCACCGTTATTCGCATCGATATTTGCCTACAGTGTTCTTTGAGTCCTTCGCCTGGTGGTTGAACTGATAGGCGATCGGAGAGCTCCTCTTAAATGCCGATTTGCAACTATCGATGACATTGTATCGTGAGTTCGATGCCCGCAGCTTTCCTGCGGTTGTTTGCTAAGCGTAGGGAGAATTTGGCTAGTAACAAGGCGTGGTCTGTATCCAAGGTGTTGACCAGTAAGAGCGGCAGTCTTGAATCGTCCCCCTCCATTGGCAAATGATGACGACGTGGTCGATCTAGCTCCAGCGCTGTGAAGAGTGTGACAGTTTCCATGTAACGCTGAGTCGTTCCTCATGCGAGAAGTTGGTGCTTGATAGGAACAATCCGTGGTTTGCGCTGAGTTGAAGTATGCGGTCTCCGTTGTCCGTCCGGTTGGCTGGTCCGTCAAGAAGCCCTTCTGATTCGTCCAGGAATTCCACTTGAGCATTGAAATCTCCGACGCCTACCATGACGTCTGATGATCGAACACTTTGGAGTAATTGAGAAAGATCCTTGTAGAATTCATCCTTGATTTCAGGTGTACTGCAATCGGTGCGTACACCGATATGACGAAGGAGCATCGACGCTTTATTCTGAAGCTGTTGACCCGTACTGAGCCGCTTAGACGTACAGCGTACTGTCGGCTACTGACCGGAATCCAGGCAAGAAGCGAGTGTTCAGCATTGACACTAAGTGCAATCCCAACACCAGCAACACCGTGAGCGTCGGATGCCGAGACGCCGGAGACACGAAAAATGAAATGTGAGGATGACACTGGGTTTTGACCGGCAGACGGTTCTGTCGTCAGTACCACCGCCTAACCATCGGGACCTCATGTGGTTCGCC